AGTCCCCACCACCAATGAGGTCTCCTTTAACAAGCCCGAATAGGTCAGCTTCTTCATCCGCTAGAAGTTCAATGATGAAACCAACAACATTACCGTCATCTTCATCTGTTCAACGTTCGACTGTGAAGTCACCGTTGCGAGATGATAGATCCGTTGTTGCTAAGGAGAGGAACGGTTTGGGAAAAGCTCCCTCTGTCTCCAAAACTGATGATGAGGATTCTGAGGATGATAAACCCTTGAGTGCCAGACTTAAAATGGATTCTAAGGAGGTTATCAAACAGCCGAGCTCTTCCGGGCGTGGGAATACGCAGCAAGCAGTACAGAAGAGCAACATGAGGCCTCAGGGATCGAGCGATAACACTAAAAAGAAAGTTTTGGATGAGAGAGCTCCCGTGTCCTCAATGGTTCAGACAAAGACCAGTGTGGGTACATCAAGTAGCAAGCCTGTTCATAATGAACAGAAGAGACCTTTGGTTAACAATATCAATCGGAATGGCTTAAAACCGAAGACTGAAGGGGTCAGTTCTCAGGCACCTGCTAAGAGACCTCTTGAGAAGGGGAGTTCTTCGAATCAATCTTCTGTTAAGAGGCTCAAGCTGTCAGAGCCAGCTAGACCAGTGAAAGTGGAACAAGGTTCACATAATGCAGCTACGCAAGATGCCAAAGGAAAGAATCTGGATGCATCAAAGCCGTTGAGAGCTAACAAAGCAATTGTTAAAGAAGATAACTCAGATGATGATGATCATGTTCCTATTGCCTCAAGGATAAAGTCAGATTCCTCAAAATTTTCCTCCGCGAAGCCAAGTTCTAGTAAAACGATCGCTTCTTCATCCAGAATAATAGCTAAAAAGCCCAACAAATGGGTGAAAGATTCTAAGTATTCGAAATCTTCAAAATCATTACCTTCTGGAGATGGGCAAACGAAATGGAAAACTCTAGAGCACAATGGTGTCATTTTTCCACCTTCATATAAGCGTCATGGGGTTAAGATATTGTATCAGGGAAAGCCTGTTGACTTAACTCCTGAACAAGAAGAGGTCCTTTCTCTGTCTTTTTTTTCTGTGTCTCTGTCCCATGATAGTTTTCTTTGCTTAGTTTCTGCAGCCGTTGACTTTCATCTCATTGCCCAGAGTGTTTTTGTATGCTTGCTCATAGTCATGAGTGGTGAGCTGATAATATCGTCATTTCTGTCTGCAGGTTGCAACTATGTTTGCGGTGATGAGGGAAACAGAATATTACAATAAACCAAAGTTCAGAGAGAATTTCTGGAATGATTGGCGGAGACTACTTGGAAAGAACCATATAATTAAAAATTTGGATGATTGTGACTTCACTCCCATATATGAATGGTATATACAGGAGAAGGAGACAAAGAAACTAATGACTGCAGAAGTAAGTAAACAGTTTATATAAGATAAAGTTCATTAGTATGCTATTCTGATTCTCTGATGGAGCTGTTGTTGATAATGTATAATGCTAATGATGTACAGGAGAAAAGGATTTTGAAAGAGGAGAAATTAAAGCAGGAGGAGAAATACATGTGGGCTGTTCTTGATGGTGTCAGGGAGAGGGTAATTTCTTTTTTATTGTTGATAGAAATCTATTCCAGCTTCTCAAAATTTGCTAACCATAATTTGCAACAATTCCAGATTGGAAATTTCAGAGTTGAGCCCCCTGGGTTGTTTCGAGGCCGGGGAGAACATCCTAAGGTATATTTTTGCTGCTTTTGTTTACATTATCCTTAACCTATATTATTATGTTGTATACTGTAGTATCACATTTAGAACATTTTTCTTCCTTGTTCCCCCAACTTCCATAGTTAATTCTCATTTTAATAATTTTCTCTTCTGCGTCATTATGTTCAAGATGGGGAAACTGAAAAAGCGGATTCGTCCTTGTGATATTACAATCAACATTGGTAAAGAGGCGCCTGTTCCAGAATGCCCTATCCCTGGTGAAAGGTCTTGTTTTTATGTGCTTCCCTTTGAAAAAGACACATGTTTTGTTTTTTCTTTGATCTGATTCTAAGAGTGCTGTTCTTTTTTCAGATGGAAAGAAGTTAAGCATGACAATACTGTTACCTGGCTTGCTTTTTGGAATGATCCTATCAATCCAAAAGAGTTCAAGTATGTATTCTTGGCAGCTAGCAGTTCGTTGAAGGGACAAAGCGACAAGGAGAAGTATGAGAAAGCGAGGAAGCTACATGTAATGAGCTTTTGATTCCGCTAAAGCTTTTTTGTAAACCATCCTGCTTTTTCTTATCTTATCAAGCAACCTACGACCTGTTTGCAGAACTATATAGGGAGTATTAGAGCAGCATACACCAAAGATTTTAATAACAAGGATGTAACAAAGCGGCAAATAGCAGTTGCGACATATCTCATCGATAAGCTAGCCCTTAGGGCTGGAAATGAGAAGGTAATTTAACAAAGATTCTTCTTTAATTAAAGAGATCCTTCTTATTATTCATTTTATCATTGGTTTTGGCTTATAAGAGACCATTACTCCATAAAACCAGCTTCTTACTCATAGAACATGTTTCTAGAATTTCAAGCAATTCTCTCACATTTTTCTTTCTTGGTCATCATATTTTTATTGTATAGGATGACGATGAGGCAGATACTGTTGGTTGCTGTACATTGAAAGTAGGAAATGTGGAGTGTATTCCTCCAAATAAGTTAAAGGTATATACTTGATCTCAACCTGAACAAAATTGACTGCAGAATATATCTGCGAGGGTACTAGAATGTCTGGCTTACTGATTTTTTTTTGGTCAACAAGGCTTTTTTGTTGCATATTATAGTGACTTATGGTATCGGCTTTGGCATTTTCAGTTTGACTTCCTTGGTAAGGACTCTATTCAGTATGTAAACACAGTTGAGGTTGAGCCTCTGGTGTATAAGGCAATTGGGCAGTTCCAAGCGGGTTAGTAAATTATTAAATCGGCTATCTAATCTTATAATTGACCTTTGGAAACTGGATAAATGACTTTTGCTTTGTCTTCTATCCAGGAAAATCGAAAACCGATGATCTATTTGATGAGCTAGATACTTCAAAACTCAATGCTCATCTTAAGGAGCTTATGGCTGGTCTCACAGCCAAAGTCTTCCGTACATATAATGCATCCATCACATTGGATTTAATGGTATGTTGTCACTTCTTACCCTTTTTAAAAATTGTATTTGCACGTATGGATTAAAAACCTAGTGATACAAACATATATTATTACTCAGTTGTTGTAATCCTAATGATATAGGTTATATTTTCCATTTTCTTGAGTAATTTATTTTTAAGCCGTTTTTGATTGGATGCTATGACAGTTGAGTAAAGAAACCAGAGATGGTGATGTTCCTGAAAAAGTGGTGGTTTATCAGCAAGCAAACAAGGAGGTAATGACAGTTATCCTCTCTGCTATTTCACAGATAAGAGAATATGAGTATCTTATCTTTTTGGTTAGGTTGCTATCATTTGTAACCATCAACGTACTGTGTCAAAATCTCACGGAGCACAAGTCGAGAAGCTGGCTGTGAAAATAGAAGAACTAAGGGTATAATATAAGCAAATCCCAATTAACTTTGATCAAAATACAATTTCAACTTTCTCAGTCTCAAGATCTTTGTATTTTCTCTGCAGGAGCAAATAAAAGAGCTGAATATTGATCTCAACAGGGCTAAAAAAGGAAGAACACCATTAATGGGATCTGATGGAAAGAGAAAGAGGAACTTAACACCTGAAGCGTAATATCTAAACCTCTTGTCACACACATTATTTATCGCATAAGCATCTCTATGAAAACAACTTCCGCATTGGAATAACAGATTGGAGAAGAAGATAATGCAAACGCAAGGTAAGATCGAGAAGATGGAAAGGGATATGCAAACGAAGGAAGATATGAAAACCGTTGCATTGGGCACATCTAAGATCAATTACATGGATCCTAGGATCACTGTTGCATGGTGCAAACGGCACGATGTCCCCATTGAGAAGGTACTATCAAAAGCTTCAACATAGTGTCACAGACTTACAACATTTGAAATTTAAACTTGTGTGTTTGCTATTGCAGATATTTAACAAGTCTCTTCTGGCTAAGTTCGCTTGGGCAATGGACGTTGATCCTGAGTTCAGATTCTGTTTAAGCAATGATGAATAAATACATGTTCGTTGAGGCCAGTTTCACCTAACCATTCACCATACATTTACAGAGATATAGAGAGAAAGAGAGTTAAAAAGAGAAGAAGAAAGATAGCAAGACCCTGTAAAAGAGGTTTCTTCTCTCTTAATAGTAAACCAAAGACTAATCTGTTGGATGTTTTATAGAAAAACAGTTACAATTTTTTACTCAATAAATAAATAATTCAGGTTAATAATAGTAATAATGATACATAAAAAGGTAGTACCTATCTTTAATCTATACTATGGATGATTAATAAGTTTATGCATTAATAACTAAAAATTTTAAGAGTTTTTTTTTTTTGGTGCAACAACTAAATTTTAAGAGCTTTTTTTTTTACAAAATTCATTTCAACCATTTTTAGTACTTGAATAATTTGGTAAGTTGCAAATTCACTTTCAAATGGTTAAAAGTTTTGTGGTAAACAATAACTTGGAATTTTATCCGATAATATCAAATAAGTAATCTTATGTTATTTAATATGATGATACGTTGTTTCGTTTATCTAAATGACATCCAAATGCTAAATTATCCGATGACACGGAATTTGATCGGATAAGAAATTGGATTTCTTTGCATTTGTGATTTTATCCCCAATATTATTTACTTATATATGCTTCACACTTTTAGTAAATTAACCAATGAGGCGATGATTAATCAATTTTTTCATCTTAAACCCAAATTTTTAGTGGGATTTTTGGCAATTAAAAAGTTTATGGCAATAAGGGTAAAAACAAAAGTCTATGGCGGTAAGATTAAACGATTTGGCGCGACGTAAAAAAAAAACCCTCAAGCGGGGAACTCTCTAATCTACAGAGAGTCTCCTTATGCCTTAGTCTCCTCGTCGTTAAAACGAGAGAAACCATCAGAGCAGAAGAGAAGAGAGAACAGAGAAACAAGGGAGAGAGATAGGCTTCGCTCGACTATTTCTTCAATCTCTGGACGAAGGTAGCTTCTTCAATCCAACGTTAACTCTCCGAAATTTGATTGTATTAAGTTCAATTTGCATCATTACCCAGTTATAGTACAAATTAGGGTTTCACATTCGTAATTGGGGATTTGGTATTTCAACTACACTGGATTCTTCAAATGTTGTTTCTTTGCTTTATGATTCTCTGTAGTGTAATCATTTTGCTGCTTGTAGTTGTAATGGTGTTTGTTTGCCTTTCTTTGGGAAGCTCTGACATTTTTTTGTGGGTTGTTTTGCCTCTTGGTCAGAAGTTGGTCTGAGCCTTTATCATCGTTGTTATTTCGGGTATGGGCACTGAAACTGTTTCGAAACCTGTGATGGATAATGGGTGTGAAGACAGTGATGATGACAAGGCTGTAGTGTTCAAGAGGAGAAGTACTGTTGCTTCTAATTCGAATCAATCTAAATCCAATCCCCAGAGAAGCAAGGCAGTCCCTACCACAAAGGAATCACCTATGAGATCCCCTGTGACTAGCCCAAATGGAACCACTCCTTCGAATAGAACTTCTACAGTGAAATCCTCTGTGCCATCATCTTCTGCTAAGGCTTCACCAGCAAAGTCACCATTGCGGAATGATACGCTCTCTACCGTTAAGGATAGGAGCCAGTTACATAAAGATCAGTCTAAATGTAAAATTGAACATGAGGATTCTGAGGATGATAGACCATTAAGTTCCATACTATCTGGAAATTCCAATCGGCAAAATAAAGGGCCAACCTCTTCGCGGCAGGTGTCTTCACCGCAGCCAGAAAAAAAGAATAATGGTGATCGACCTCTTGATAGAGCAAACCGAATCATAAAAGATGAGTCAGATGATGAAACTCCAATCTCGTTAATGTTTCGGAAAAAGATTGATAGTGGGATGTCAGGGGGCAAACAGATCTCCAATGATGAAAATAAACCTTTGGCTAAAAAGTTGCATCAGAATGGTTCCGCACTTAAAAATGAAGTACCGAACTGTAAGGTATTAGGTAAGAGACCCGTGGAGAAGAATAGTTCTGCAGATCAATCTTCCTTGAAGAAGGTCAAGCTATCAGCTTCACCTACTTCAGTGAAAATGAAACAAGATTCTGTCAAAAAAGAGTCAGATGATAAGGGAAGGGTTTTGGGTTCCCCAAAACCATTGAAAGCTAAAAAGTTATCTACCAGAGAAGATGGAACTGATGATGATGATGATGTTCCGATATCCAAGAGATTCAAATCAGATTCCTCCAACAGTAAAACATCATCTGCAAAACCTAAGGCAGTAAAACAAAACTCTACTTCATCAGCTGCAAAGCCAAAAGTGACAAATGTCGTTTCTCCTCGGTCCAGAACAACGAACAAAAACTCTAAGAAAGTAACAAAGGACTCAAAATATTCCGCGTCTTCGAAATCGTCACCTTCATCTGGAGATGGGCAGAAGAAATGGACTACCTTGGTGCACAACGGTGTAATATTTCCACCACCTTACAAGCCTCACGGCATTAAGATTTTGTACAAGGGGAAGCCTGTTGACCTAACTACTGAACAAGAAGAGGTTGTTCTCTCCATCCACGTCCTCAATCTTACTGATAAATGTTATATACCCGTTTCTTAATTGATTTTTCGTTCATCTCAATATCTAGAGTGCTTTCTTATGTCATTTCAAGAAAGCATTACTATCCATGCTGATGCTATGTTGATGATATACAGGTTGCGACTATGTTTGCAGTAATGAGAGAGACGGATTATTATAATAAACCTCAATTTAGGGAGAATTTCTGGAATGACTGGCGAGCACTGCTTGGCAGGAAACATGTGATACAGAAGTTGGATGATTGTGACTTTACTCCCATATATGAGTGGCATTTGGAAGAGAAAGAGAAGAAGAAACAAATGAGCACAGAGGTAATTAAAAAATAGAATTTCAAGTGTAGTGGCTGACTATATTGGTGTCCCAGACCTGTTTTTCTTATTGCTGAAAATTTTCAAGATGAGACTTATATCATAATTTAATTGATATGGTACAGGAGAAAAAAGCTTTGAAAGAGGAGAAACTGAAGCAAGAGGAGAAATATATGTGGGCTGTTGTTGATGGTGTCAAAGAGAAGGTAAATCTTCCCATAACGTTGTCATTTCCCCAAAAGGGAGTTCCTCACTCAAACTTCTGTTTATCTTTCAGATTGGTAATTTCAGAGTTGAACCGCCTGGGCTTTTCAGAGGCCGTGGAGAACATCCCAAGGTTAGTCCTGTCTCTCAGAAACTAATTTTCGTAAACAACATACCTTGACGTTGCGGGTTTGGGTGGATTCAGTTAAGGCATGGTCTATTCTGTTTTCTCTTTCAAAACCATCTACTGTCTGTTTTTTAGATGGGAAAACTAAAGAAGCGTATCCGTCCATGCGAGATCACCTTAAATATCGGGAAAGGTGCTCCTATTCCAGAATGTCCAATCGCTGGTGAAAGGTCTTGTTTTTCCATGATTTTCCTCTTAAATTGAAAAGCATCATATAATGATCTTTACTAAGCCATGGGAGCTGTGTGACTTTTCAGATGGAAAGAAGTAAAGCATGATAACACAGTTACCTGGCTAGCTTTCTGGGTTGATCCTATTAACCAGAAAGAATTCAAGTATGTATTTTTGGCACCTAGCAGTGCTATGAAAGGGCTGAGCGACAAAGAGAAGTACGAGAAAGCTAGGAATCTTACGGTAAGCAGCTTTCATTTTTATGAATCGTGCTTACTCTTTCATTGTTTCTCCTTTTTAGCAATAGATTTGTTTTGACTGCAGGACCATATAGATAATATAAGGACAACATACACCAAGAATTTTACCGCCAAGGATGTTACAACGAAGCAAATTGCTGTGGCGACATATCTCATTGATAAATTGGCGCTTAGGGCTGGAAATGAGAAGGTAGTTTTGAACTAGTATATTGCAAGTTTAATGTAAAAGCAAATGATTCTAACAAATAAATGGCGCTTAAACAAAAAACAAATTCTGAAGAAATCTCATATTTTCATTTTTGATTGGTAGGATGATGATGAGGCCGACACTGTTGGTTGTTGTACTTTAAAAGTTGGAAATGTGGAGTGTATTCCTCCAAATAAAATAAAGGTATTAATTTCATCCTTAAAGTTTTACACTTGTGAAAGTGGATAACATGTGTTTAATCCTGCCAGAAGACTTATAATCTCACACATTTCCCTCTATCTTCATATGTACCCAGTTTGACTTTCTTGGTAAGGATTCAATCCAGTATGTGAACACAGTTGAGGTTGAGCCTCTTGTTTACAAGGCCATTGGACAGTTCCAGGCGGGTGAGATATGGACTTGACGTGGTATATCACAGGTTATTTTATTCTTGTGATTGATTCAAATAACATGCTTTCTTTTTTGCCCTATCCAGGAAAATCCAAAACAGATGATCTTTTTGATGAGTTGGACACAAGTAAACTGAATGCTCATCTGAAGGAACTTGTGCCTGGTCTCACAGCCAAAGTATTCCGTACATATAATGCTTCCATCACTTTGGATGAAATGGTATGTTCAAAACCTTGGAGTTTCAAATTAGATTTATGCTGCTATACAATTTAGTCACAGAAACCCAGTTACAAGTATTTATATTTCTTTATTTTCTTCCTTTACATTTTTTCACAACTTTGTTCCGTTTTGATGTGTGGAACAGCTGAGTCAAGAAACCAAAGATGGCGATTTAAATCAGAAAATAGTAGTTTATCAGAAAGCAAACAAGGAGGTAAAAGATTTGTTCATTCTCCTGGTGATTTCTTGTTTGGTGCATAGCTCATGTGGCAGATTCATGAAATACTGGTTCACATTCTTTCAGGTTGCCATAATCTGTAATCATCAGCGTACTGTATCAAAGTCACATGGTGCGCAAATTGAAAAATTGACTGCGAGAATAGAAGAACTCAAGGTACAAATCTCCTATAAACTCTTGATTACCTTTTGAAATTCTCTGCTTTTCTTCTGGATTCATTTATAATGCCTTCCGTTTGTTTGTTTTTGATAAATCTGTAGGAGGGTCTTAAAGAGCTCAAAACTAATCTTGACTGGGCTAAAAAGGGAAAACCACCATTGGAAGGTTCTGATGGAAAGAAGATTAGAAGCTTAGAACCAAACGCGTAATATAATTTTCCTTCTTACTTCTGAAAAGACTCCTAGATATCTATCTCGTTTTGAAGATTTACGTCCTTTGAATGTTTTATTGCAGGTGGGAGAAGAAGATTGCTCAACAGAGTGCTAAGATCGAGAAAATGGAACGAGACATGCATACAAAAGAGGACTTGAAAACCGTGGCACTAGGCACATCTAAGATCAATTACCTGGATCCTAGAATCACGGTTGCATGGTGCAAACGTCATGAAGTACCAATCGAAAAGGTATAGAAACAAACTCTCAGGATAGGTCTCTTCTGAACAGAAGTTTTTCTTACAAACTCAAAAAATGTTTCTTGTTCTAGATATTCACCAAGTCTCTTTTGGAGAAATTTGCGTGGGCAATGGATGTAGAACCCGATTACAGATTCTCGCACCGGATGGTATAGAGAAGCAGTTCTCGGATGGAGCAATTATTGGAGGGCAAAAGAGCTGAATGAGATAAGAGCAAAGAGAAAACCGGCCTTTCTTCTATTCATCTTCCTCCTTTGTTTAGAACCTTTTACCGTAGTGAGTAAAAAAAAATTCAAGCTGTTTCATTAGTGTTATCCTTTTGTCCTTTTTAACATTATTACTATGACTAAAATGCTATGTTATTTTTCACATGATTAAAGAAATAGAAAATTGGAAGAAGAACAAAAACACTGTTCCCTATGTTTTCATAAGATGTTTTAGTAAAAAGATATGTGCAAATGTGTAGTATTTTTCTAATTCATTCTCTTTTTTTTTTTTTTTTTTTTTTTTTTTTCAAACTCTAATTCATTCTCTATATATCCCGATTAAAAGGATAATTTGATCATTTTACAATTATATTACAAAAACATCACAGGTGCATAATTTAGTTACTTTGTAAACCATATGTAGATATGAAATTTAGGAGCTTTTTTCTATATATAATTGTAATGTGGTTAAGACAAAAGTAAATAATTAGGGTGTTTGACTTAATAATAGTTTGAAGATAAGTTAGGTTTGGTCTATTTTCCCTCACGAAAAATCTCAAAACTCACACGGATCCAAAAATTCAGATTCACCGGATTCGCACGAAGAACATCATCGTCCTCCTCCTCCAAGAGGAGCTTTCATTTTCAAATCTGTGAGATCTCAGACAATTTCTCTTTTACCGTCCTTTTCGATCGCCTTGAGGTTATTGTATCCTAAATCACGTCTCGTCGCAGATAATTCTCTCTCAGATCAGGATCAAACATGGGTTTCCTTATAACAACCCTAATCTTCGTCGTCGTTGGGATTATTGCTGCTTTATGCGCTAGAATCTGCTGCAACAGAGGTCCCTCCACGAATCTGTATGTTTCCTTGCTTTGCAAATTTGATATTTCTGAATCTTAGGTGTTAGTTAATTGACAATGATAGTGAGGGTAATTTGGAATCAATAGTTAATTGAAAAAGGAAACATAAAGGCTCAACATTTAGAGGGAAACTCCAAAGTCTTTGAATTGGTTGCTTGTCGTGGTGTAATATCTTCAACGAGCTTTGGTGATGTATGAATAGAACTCTTGTCACGGTTTCGTTTCTTGTGCTCTGAAAGTTTATGGATATGCTATACTTCGAAGTTGTTTGTATCATTCATCAAGCTTGCTTCAAGCTCTGTTATTTAATCTGTCTTCCTTGTTTCTTCGTGACTGTTTTGCTTTGCCTCTCATTCTGTAACCATGGAGTAAAATATCTCATCTCTATTTTGTGATAACAGGCTACATCTTACTTTGGTCATTACTGCCACGGTCTGCTGTTGGATGATGTAAGTTTATGTTTTGATATACCTTTTGCGTTGCTTTTCTAGCCATTGGTTTACATTTACAGCTCATTGTTTCTTCTTGGCATTTTCTTCATCTTCAATTTTGCGTTGATGTCAAAAGACCTGTTATTGTTTCCCCTCCTTCATCACTGTTTCTTTACAACAAAGTAGTCAAACTGCTTCTAGTCATAGTCTGAAAGTTTCCTAATTGAACTCATGAACATTGTCAAGGTTCTTTGTGCATCTGTATATCGAGTTTGATTCTATGTTGCTTGGTCACATTGTCTTACTTTTTTATCTCTTGACTATGGTAGGTGGGCAATTGTATATATTGCACAGATGAATCCTCTGATTGTCCCCATCCTAAGCGAAACAGAGTAGAATCCTCTCTCTACTCAGACAAGAAACCTCAAACTAGAAAAAGCATACGCAAAGTCAGTCGACTAATCCAATCCTTGTGTATCTTCAATCTTTAAACAGTTTTCCTGTTTGTAATTCTTATCTTGGGCATGTGAACAAATCAAAACCTTTTGGCCTCTTTACTATTTTGAGATTTTCTTGTATTCACTTCTCACCCTTTTGGCCACAATGTATTGTTAATTTAATAAGCTTTTCAAGTCATAATTTTGATTATGAACATCAATGTGAAACGTCGTCGTTTATGTGACTTAGAGGTTTAGAGGGTCCACTCGATCTCTTCACCTTTCCTTTGTGAGGAAAAAACACTCAACTGTTGATATTTTCTTCGTCGACACTAAAACCCTAAAAAGCCCATTTTTTTTGTCTCTCTTTCCTCTCTGAAAGCAGAGAAAGTAAACAATGGCGATAATTCCGTTAGCGCAGCTCAATGAACTAACGATTTCTTCATCGTCTTCTTCATTTCTTGCGAAATCGTTATGTTCTCATTCGTTGCATAGTAGCTGCGTTTGCGCAAGTACTAGAATCAGTCAATTCCGTGGTGGCTTCTCAAAACGAAGAAGCGATTCAACAAGGTCTAAATCGATGCGGTTGAGATGTTCCTTCTCTCCGATGGAGTCTGCGAGAATTAAGGTTGTTGGTGTCGGTGGTGGTGGTAACAATGCCGTTAACCGGATGATTTCAAGCGGTTTACAGGTCACATTTCTCAATCTCTTTCTCTCTACAAAGAAGAAGACATTGAACTTTTCTCATTTTGGGTTTTGATTGATTTATGGTTTGAATTCGTCTGTGTTCCAGAGTGTTGATTTCTATGCGATAAACACGGACTCTCAAGCTCTGTTACAGTCTTCTGCTGAGAACCCACTTCAAATTGGAGAGCTTTTAACTCGTGGGCTTGGTTAGTAGAGTTATACTATTATTTGTATAGATGTTGTGTGAGTTTTGACACTCAAAGCAACAAACTTGCGTCTCTGTTACTTGTTTTAATAGGTACTGGTGGAAACCCGCTTCTCGGTGAACAAGCTGCAGAAGAATCAAAAGATGCAATTGCTAATGCTCTTAAAGGATCAGACCTTGTTTTCATTACTGCTGGTATGGGTGGTGGAACAGGGTCTGGTGCTGCACCTGTGGTAGCTCAGATATCGAAGGATGCCGGTTATTTGACTGTTGGTGTTGTTACCTATCCGTTTAGCTTTGAAGGACGTAAAAGATCTTTGCAGGTTGGTGTTGACACTGTTTCAAGTTGAATTGGTTTAACTCTTAAGTCTTGATATGGATCCATGCCTAATTTGGTTATTTTTCTCTAGGCACTGGAAGCTATTGAAAAGCTCCAAAAGAATGTTGATACCCTTATTGTGATTCCAAATGATCGTCTGCTAGATATTGCTGATGAACAGACACCTCTTCAGGATGCTTTTCTTCTTGCAGATGATGTTTTACGCCAAGGAGTACAAGGAATCTCAGATATTATTACTGTAAGTCTGTGTATTGTATAAAGCGTAACAAGTTGGTTTATGAAAGCTCATTGATTGATCCCCAAAGAAAGATCCTGAGGAAACAGTATTTATTGTTCTTTTTCAGATACCTGGACTGGTCAATGTAGATTTTGCGGATGTGAAGGCAGTTATGAAAGATTCTGGAACTGCAATGCTCGGGGTAGGTGTTTCTTCCAGCAAGAACCGGGCAGAAGAAGCAGCTGAACAAGCGACTTTGGCTCCATTGATCGGATCATCCATACAATCAGCTACTGGTGTCGTCTACAACATCACTGGTGGAAAAGACATAACTTTGCAAGAAGTGAACCGAGTATCACAGGTACCGTATTTTTGTCCTGGTGTACTCGGTTTTGCTTCAATTTGGGTATATACCGTATTATAATGCACAGATTTCGGACTTTTTGCAGGTCGTGACAAGTTTGGCAGACCCATCAGCCAACATCATATTTGGAGCCGTTGTGGATGATCGTTACACCGGAGAGATTCATGTAACCATAATCGCCACGGGCTTCTCACAGTCATTCCAGAAGACACTTCTGACTGATCCAAGAGCAGCTAAACTCCTGGACAAAATGGGATCATCAGGTCAACAAGAGAACAAAGGAATGTCTCTGCCTCACCAGAAGCAGTCTCCATCAACTATCTCTACCAAATCATCTTCTCCCCGTAGACTTTTCTTCTAGTTTTCTTTTTTGCCTTTTCGGTTTTAAGCATCAAAAATGTAACGATCTTCAGGCTCAAATATCAATTACATTTTATTTTTCTCCAAATTGTCTCTAAATCAAAAACTAACGTTTCGATCATTATGCTAACCTAAGGCAAATCCATAACGTCATTTGGTAAACATGACTGTAAAGTCACAGGCACAGATTGGATGGAACTTGGCTTCAATGATTTATCACGGGGATCTTGAAGAGATATAAACTTGTGAAACTTGATCCTGCTATGGCAGAAAGGAAATGAGTTTTTGACTTATGATCCCAAGACCGTGGAAGGTTTTTGACACACAACATAACTAAAGTAGATTAACATATGCATATCAATCTCACTTAGAATATATAAAAATAGATTCCATGTTTCAAGATTTAAAAAGAAAAGACGAGATTCCAGCCTCAAACTCATTTCCAAACAACTACTGATGAGATACAAATTGAGGAAGAAGATTACGTGGCCAAGAGTTTGAGTTATTTTAATTATTGTAGTTAGTGGCAATGTGTTTACTTACCCACGTTTCACGTGCCTTAGTTGTTACTTTATTTTCTTGTGTATTCAAGCATGTTTATTGCACAATCTAAGGGGAAGAAAAAAATTGTAGTAACTTGTTCTAAAGTCTTTGAGAACCAAAGTGTTCTTGTCTTTGTTCTTGATCAACATTGATTGTCCTATAACTGGGACCTATCAAACTACTCTATATTTTGAGGTGGAATATGGTAACCGGGCCCGATTCTAGTATTATGAGCAAAGATGGAGTAATCAGCCAGCTTGACAAATCCGGTTTCACCGACATCCGCGAGTTCGACGTGGTTAGGGAGCATGATGCCGGGAAAGGAGCTAACAGGTACACAAAATGGTTCAGACTTTGAGAGGAAAATGCAGAGATCTCCAATGTCTTGAGTGTAAACACTAAACAGCGTTCCCTTTATAGTCTAGCTTGAACACCATTAAAGCTTTTGTTTTCAGTTTCGACATACCTCTCCAGACGGCTTTCCTATACCACTTAACTAAGAAAGTTTCACCGGTGGTTCTTGACTCCAACAAGTGTTCGCTTTTGTAGCACGAATCCATAAGCTCTCGTTTGGTCTTTGTCAGCTTGGGAAGGTTTAGGAACTGCAACCTCTGAAATGGGTTTTGCTTCTGTGTGTGGAGATCCCATGATCCAATGATATGGCCTCCAGATCCGAGTATGCGAAACATCTCATCTTTCTCCGAAAACATGACACGAGAGGAGTAGAAGCAGGGGTTTGCGATTCTGATGTTGATCCACTCGGAATTACTTTTAGCCGGTCTGCAAAAGCTTATTTGAGGTCCCAAGAACTTGACCGCCACGACACAGTCCTCATCCTCAGGAGAAGATGAGGACATTGACACATTGGTAACGATTTGAGTTTGGCAATGAGGCAGAGTTACAAGAGGAGGCAGGGGAATACGTTTTGGTTCTGTATAGGATGCATTTGGGTTTAGATCATCTTGGAGACGCAGTATTCCGTCTTCCTTCAAAGTAGCTACCCAACCATGGGATGACCCGATCGTTGCCATTGGAATATCCACCAACTCCATAGCCACCTTCTTTTCCAAATCAGTGAGATGATATTCATTATGATATTTAACGACGAGTTTTCCGAGACCCCTTCCACAAGGATCAGCGTCAATGATGGTACAAGGAGGGGTTTGCAACAAGGAAGTTGAGAAGCCATTAGAGAGAGGAGGAGAGGATCTTACCAACCCAGGTTTCCTCCGAAAGCAGATCTTCAAGGGCTGGTTGAGAAGCAGAGACATGAGTAATGTTCTTAAGCGAAAACCAAGAGATTAGAAGGCTGAATTAATACAGAGGAAAGGACTTGCCCAACAAGTTTCCCACCACTAAATTAATTATGGTCATACACAATCTTAATTGGATTTCATTTCAAATGTGGTCAAACGCTCCATTAATCTCTTAATTGGACCTTGCACACCAAGTTTTCTCCAAATTGTCAAGACTCAAATTCTAAAAATGATGAACTTACAATTGTTGAGGAGAAATAAAGTGAGGGGCCGGAAAGGAGAAATCGGCAGAAACACTTGAGGTATAGGTAAAGAACGAATGATCATTTTCTTGTGCATCAATCAATCAGTAGGGTTTCCAAAAGATCCATGGGGGCTCTTCTCTCACAATTTTTCTTTTTCTTGTTGTAAAAGTGGCATTACACACAAAAGAGAGAGAAAATAAACAAGAAGCTTTTAAGACACAAAGATTCTATCAAACGGACCCTTTGTGTAGAGATCTCTTTGGCAACACATGGATTATAGATTCTTCTGCATTTTACAACCTATACACCGATGATTTTGGGTAGTTTTCTTGCTCTGCAATGAGAAGAAAGAACCAATTTCTGAGTTCCAGTTTCTGTTTTCACTGTTTTGCGTCTCACAGGAAATAATCAGGTGCAGGTTTCTTGGCTAGAGCTCCTCTCGATTCCTGCATCCATAGTCACGTTATGCCTGACAAATCAAACCAGAATTTGGACAGGAAGTTAGATAGGTCAGGATCTTACTTGTGGGGCTGCATCGAAGACACGAAACTCCTTATCTAGATTCTCATCGAGCTCTAGAATTGCAGCAACATTACCGCATCTGGACCACATTCAAACACAAGTAACATGAACACTCAAGGCAAAGGAAACAATATAATATGTGTAAGGTTGTGAGTATCTATCTAATTAATTACCTATAACAGTAATTTGGGGCAGACCAAACAGTGACTATCTGGCTATTGAACATCCATTTGTAACCTTCCATAACTAGCTGATGAGCTCGACATATGTAATCAATGTTGTTTGAGTGGTTAAAAGACGTAACAACACTGCCGCCAAAAAGGAAGCCGGCACCACGGGGACTCAATCCCCAGCCATCAACAATATCTTCTGGATCAGACCATAAAAGATCACACATGGCACCATCATGTGGTACTTCTTGCTTTCGATCAATAGCCCTGATCTGCCACAAGAAATGTATGAATTGACTAGTCAGTTATATATCCTTATAGCTAAAACCTTATGATTATATCAGCACTTTCTCAACCTGGTCTAGAGTCATAATAGCTGGAGAGAGACCTCCATGAACACAAAATATCTTGTTCTCGACAAGAGCTGAAAGACTTAGACAAATAAAAGACAGGAAGTTTCCATTACATTAACCGAAATAATCTCTACATGGAACTCCAAAACAAAAGCCGAAAAGGGGTGTGTACCTCAAGTAGTCAAAGATATCTGTGCAGTATCTCCAGACATTTACAGAGCCATATTTACGCAGGCACTCGTCATAAAATCCATATACCTACTAAAATCAGACTCTTAAATAGTCTGAAAGTATACACACGAACCAAAGTTTCCTAAAAAGACTCAACTCACCTGCGTAATCTGCCGGCTCTCGTGATTCCCTCTAATGAGAGTTATACGGTCTGGATATCTAACCTGAGAATATAAAAAGTAATCAACTTGAGGGATTCTAGAACCCATTTGCAGAGAAGACTATCCAAATAATTGAACAAACCATAGTAAACACACTGTTGAGCAATTTCTTATTACCTTGAGAGCTAGAAGAAGTAGAAATGTCTCAACTGAATAAAAACCTCGGTCAACAAAATCTCCAAGAAACAAATAACTTGTCTTAGGGCAATCACCGCCGACTTTGAAAAGCTCTTTCATGTCATAGAACTGCCCATGGATGTCGCCACATATCTAAATCCATAAAACAAAACAAAATCTAAGGATAAATCAACTAGCAAGACACTCTCCATGAAATCTTCAGACTTGTAAGCACTCCAATTTAAAGAAGCAATTGTTGCAGAGTCTTTAGATAACAATGTATATAGCATCCCTAAAACATAGGAACCAAAATTTCCTACATAATTTCAAAAAACCAATACCTAGTAAACCATCCACAAAAACCCTAATTTAAACCACATCATTTCTAATTCCGAATCCAAACTAACTACAACGGTTCTGAGTCACAATTATGCACAAAATCCAAGAACCCAATTTCAATTTTCATTAGATTCCTCAACTCACAAGCTTTGACTTTCATGGGTTCTCTCCAAAACTCAATCTTCAAACATCAGTAGGGATAAATTCTGAAACTTGAATCGTGGAAAATAACTTACAGTGACAGGAGCATCGACTCTTTGAACATTGCTCTCTTCAACTAGAATCTCCATAGCTTTGAGACAAAGAGCTTTCACTTCTGATTCCTTCAAAGGCTCGCAGCGTTTAAGCTGCTCTATTTGCTGGTCTATGTCTGACATTTTCTCTCTTCCTTCTCTTTTTTTTCTTCTTCCACCTTTCTTCACAGACAACTAATGGAAAGAAAATAAAAACCCTAATTTCGATAATCAGACGCAAAATTCACGAAACCCTTAAAATCTGGCAAAAAGTCGTGTTCTTCTTCTTCCCCAGGAGAGGCTTTGCTCCTCTCCGAAGGGGTGTTTTCTCCCCAAATTCTCTCTCTCTCTTTCTTTCTCTCTCAGTCTCTCTGTTTTAATGTTTGTTTTTGAATCCGGTCCTTCTATTTTTGATTAAATACCAAATTTGCCGCGTATATTTTAAGAACACATTGTTAGCCCCCAATCTCTTAATTTGGGCCAGATATCATCCGTTAGATTCGACTATTGGCCCATCAGTAACACATAAACTAGGCTGAAATTCACTTAACGCAGATTAAAAGCTAGTGCGATACAAAAAAGAACGAATCAATTAATGGCTTAACTAGATGATTGCCCGCGCGCATGCGCGGAAATAATGCTTTACAAATGGTAAAATCATGTGAGATAAGAGATTGTTTAGGTGTTAGTGTAAGAAAATATGGTAAATTGTTTAGGGTTTAGTGTAATAAAACATGGTAAATGTTGAATTTTAAGAACACATTGTTAGCCCCCAATCCCTTAATTTGGGCCAGATATCATCCGTTAGATTCGACTATTGGCCCATCAGTAACACATAAACTAGGCTGAAATTCACTTAACGCAGATTCAAAGCTAGTGCGATACAAAAAAGAACGAATCAATTAATGGCTTAATGAGTTCATTTGGTTGACATTACCTTCATTAAAAAAGTAATCATATTAAAAAAAAAATCAGAGATAAAGTAGATCGCTTAATTTACTTATTTTGATTAGCATCGGGTTTTCGGATTATTGTAGTGCATGACTAATGTAGTAATAAACATATTTTCTGATAGGAGTTTTGCGCAAATCCACCACGGATAAAGCACCAAAGCCAAAGTCCAAGAATCCAAAGTAGCCTAATTAGGTTATGTTAAACTGAAGTACGGTGTGACAAATACAATGTCATCAGTTTTGTTGTGATCAGATAAATTTAGTTTATTTGAAGTTATATACACATGCATAAAATAAAAGCATAAATAAACTAGTATGATCGAAAACTTAATTAGCCATATTGACAGAAAGAGAAGTATAGATCAAGAATGACATTTATAAGAAGTCAAACAATGGTAGTAAAATTGATGATGTGTGTTGTAACTATTGGAGAAAGAAAGTAAATTATAGGTCAAAGCCAAAGGAAATAAAACATAAGAGTAAAGGGAATGTTGAGGATCGAAGAAAAGACCCTTTGCTTTTTGACCTAATTACAAAGACTTCCTATTTGTTTTATTTTTAGATTGCATTGGAAAACCACAGTTTTCTTGAAGTTTGGTGAGCATTTAATTTTCAGTTAAGAGTAAAACAAAATCGTAATGCGCAAGAAGATAAGCCATACATAATCTGTGGTCGATGTCTTCGGGTAAGAAACATGGTTTTGTGTGTGTGTGTCAAACTGCGAATTAATAAAATAATCAACGTTTGCAACCTTCAAAAACTCTCAATCGTAATGAAACAATTAAACCATCTCGCTTTAACCGGACACTAACAGAAGATGATGCGATCGAAACCTTAAACATTATTAAGACTAGAGAACAAATAAGTATAACTCCTTAGCCCTTGTGATGATGTTAATTAGTAGGAAGCCTCATGCCTTCATGGGAGACCAAAAAAAGTACTAGTATTATTAATATTTAGTGCAAAGAAATTAATTGAATAGTCGAATGGTGCGTAATCTAATATTTTCTCCCCTAACTAACCGTTAATCGTTTTGTTGTCTAATAATGAGCAAGAGTCCATTACAAATAAATTGTCCAATAATCACTAGCTGACATAGACTATCATATAGGTTGATGCTCGTTTAGTGATACATTATTATTTTCACTACTAATCAATAATCATCAAACTTGAGGTCAAATAATGTTCTAGGAGACGGTTTTAAAATTTGTGGATTGTTTAAATTTGGTTACTTCCTTGCTACAAAAATATATTGTAGTAGTTCTTGATCACTTTCTCTACTTTTTTCTTTTCTTTTCACCTAATATTTGAAGTATATATATACTATATATATATAGGACTATATCGATATGATTTTATATGCTACTAAAAAATTTATACGGTTCATTTCTTGAAAATTAGGCATCATACATGTCGTTTCTTGGGTTAGTCTAATTTGAAAGTTAGACATCATAGATATGCAGTTAAATTAAAGACTAAAATAATTAAAGAGCACATATTGGGGCCTAGTGTTACGTGAAACAGCGAGGATCACGGTAACTATATGTGAAAAGACTCAAAAACTATATTAATAAAACAGACTTCCTGGTCTTCTGGTTATTAATCCAATTTGCTTTCCACGTTAGTGACATTATAAATTACACACTATATATAAGAATATTTGCATGAAAATAGAAAAAAATCTGAGTAGCAACTTAATTAGTATGAAACCAACCATTTTTTTGTCCAAACAAACCATTTTTTTTGTCCAAACAAAAACCAATGTGATTTTTGAAACATTTTAGATGATTTTTGAACATTTTGTTTAACTGTTGCGTAACAAGTTGTTTTTTCATATATCATGTTATATTTCTATGTAAGCATCTAATTTGTTAAGTAAAGTTTTTATATTGTTGGGTTAGATTTTAAAAGTCTAAATCTGTAGA